ACTAAAAATACGTGCCGGTAACTGTGACTGAATGCTGGATGCATTTTGCTAGGCACATATTGCATCAACATCGAAAAACTGCATTACTGTAGATATCGCCTGGTGAAAAAAGGAAGCAAAGCTGACCTCAAAAAATTTGATGTCAAAGATTTAAGGAGGACTGAAAAGTTATTAACATCTCATGGGATGATACTAGAAAGAAAATAAAAACAAAAACTGGTTAAAGATATTAGAATTTAATTTTTACAGCTGTGCATTATAATTATAGCAGATAAGATTAAATCAAGCAATTTTTACCCAGTTTTAGCTAATATGCTTAAATGTAGTAGTTTTTCTTGTGCCATGATACTCAACGTATTTAAAGAAAAAGTCACAATAACATTTATATAAATTTTTCATTTTTCTGTATGTAAAATTACTTTTCTTTGCATGAAAATAGGCTGCTCAGAATAGGTCCTTGTGGAATGCCACTAATAGGGGGAAAATTATAAATTCAAAATTATCTTGCATAGTCTTGATAAAAAATAGTTGTTTATCCAAGCTAAGAAAACAGGGTTAATATTGAAGTATTCATGCAGGACATGTAGAAGTATTTTAGGTAGAACAGAATCAAAAGCTTGAGAAATGTTTAATAATAACACAATAAATATAAGTGCAACTTTTAACAAAGATAAAACTTTTGCTTCAGTCATTTCCTTCCGTTATTTGCACTATTAGCAGTTCATAAAAATAACAAAACTCACGGAGACAACCTTCCTTTCTAGGCTACTGCCTCCATAGTAAAAAATGCAAAAGAATGTAAAAGCTTGAGAAATGTTGAGATAAATAACATAGGTAGTTTTTCTGTTTTTAAAATTTTTAAGATGGTAAAAAGAGTTTTAAGTAGATTAGTATCAGTAGAGTGATGGTGAATACTGCAATGTTGAATAGGAAGTAGTTTAGAGGTTATTGGTATGTATGTTTTCTGATAAATACATATCTCAAATATTTTTAGCATTCCAGAAAATAGGATGATTGGTCTGAAAGAGTTAGTATCTTTTTTTTGCTGATAACTTTTATCGTAGAAGAATGCCATTGTTTCATAATATAGTTATATAAAAGTAGTCTGGAGAAGAGTTCAGATAATATGACAGCTGTAGAAGGTTGTAGTTGTAATTGTAAATTCTGTGCTATTTATAGTATTATTAGTAGAAATTACTATATATACTGACAGAGTGCACACTGAAATTATGTAATATAAAAAATAATTATAGATATGAAAAACCACAAATAAGAATTGAAATTGCAGAAACAAGATTTGAATATTCTATTTTTATATGGATATATACATTCTGTCAAATAAATACTGGGAATTGTTCTTTCAAAAGCCTGTGTAAAAAATATGAAAACAAACTTTTTGCTGTGAATTTATAGCTCCATCTGTCAACCAGTCTATTTACAACTGTTGGTTTCGTCATTGAACATGAAGTGTACTTTGCAATTTTTAAAATGAACAAGGAGTTTGTCTAAAATTTAGTGTTGCCAATTAAATTTCTTGTGCTGAGTCGTTGAAAATGTTACAGAAGGCCTATGGTGAGTCAGCTTTATCCAAAACATGTGCATATGAGTGGTACAAAGCATTTAAAGATGGCCTAGAAGTGGTGGAAAACTTGCCTCGTTCTGCTTGACCTTCAACATCTTCAACTGATGAAAACATTGACAAAATGAAGAAACTGGTGATGGAAAATTGTCATTCAAGCTTGAGAAAGAGAGGGGCTCAGAATCTGAACATGTCTCTGAATCAGTTCACACCATTTTAGTTGATGTTTTGGACATGAGACATGGTACAGCACGACAATCCAAAAGATTTGAATTTTCTTCATAAAGAGCACCAGAGAAAGGTTGCTGAAGACACGCGTGAATGAGCCAATTCAGACCCTACATTAATGAAACACATCATAAACAGATGACAAGATGTGGGTTTATGAGTTTTATGTGCAAACTTGCCAACATGTTTCAGAATGGTACTTCAAGAACGAGACAAAACTGTAAAAATGTCACTCAAAGTCACTCAAAAAAATGTTGACTGTTTTCTTTGACTGTCATGGTGTTGTCCACTTGGAATTTTTTTCCAGTGGAACAAATAGTCAACAAACAATATTACCTGAGTATTATGAAATGTTTGAGAGGGAATGTTCACCAGAAGAGGCCATATTTGTGGAAGAACAATTCTTGGATGTTGCACCATGATAACACGCCATCTCACATATCAGCCCTTGTACATTATCAACCAAGCACTGTATTCACCAGATATGGCTCTGTGTGACTTTTTTCTCTTTCCCAAACTCAAATTACTATTTCATGGAAGATGTTTTGAATCAATTGAAGAAATAAAACAAAATTTGCAGAGGGAAAGCAGGCCATACCAGAAAGTGCTTATAAGTGTTTTGATGATTGGATTACTTGTTGGTAGAAGTGCTTTGCAGCAAATTGGGCCTGTTTTGAAGGTGACAAAATAAATTTGGATGTTTTTAGACGTTGTAGCCTGCAAAAAAAGGTTGAAGTTGAGATCATTTTTAATTGTAAATTTTTTGATAGTATTTGTCTGTTTTTAGAAGTTTNAGAAAGTTACTCCTGTACAATACGTCTTTAAATAATACTTCGAAATATTCGTGCAAACAAGACTTTTTTATTGTAGAAAAATAGATAATAAATATTTGTTTGCACATCTCAATCAGTATATTAATAACCTGAAAGTGTAATGTGACATCAAATCATTTTTTTACCCTTCTCAAATTTAAGAATAAGTAAAATTCAACGTGTTTAATTGTATAAAGCTTATTAAAGCTTTGCAGTTACAAAGATACTTTCTGCTAGAATGAAAACTCTAAGATGTCGTTTTTCAAAACAATTGTATACAAAGAGTCTTTAGGAACATTTAACATTTAATAACATTTAATAACATTAAATGACATTTAATAACATTTGATATAAAAAATAATTTTATTTACTCCATCGATACTAATAAAAATACAACTTTTCTATTTATAAGTCTATTATTGTCTGAACCATGTAATAGGTATATCAAGAGAGGTAGGCAAGTAGAACTAGCACCACTGACTAAAGAAAATAATAATAATAATTGACCTTAAAACCAAATGGAAGCGGACACCGACACTTAAATAATCTGTTATATAAAATACCTACATAGAAAGACAAAATTTAATTTTACTGTTTCCTCTTTATCAGCATTTAAAGTCTAAAATAAATTAACTTATAAATAATTTACTTTCAAATATAAGATTTTCATAAAACTTACCAAACATCAGGAAAATAATCGTAACGTTACCAGCGGAATACTCCATTTTACAGTAAATTAGTAGTCCAAATGCTGCAATAGTGGCTAAGAAAGGTGACACACAGCCAGCAATACCCAACCATGGCTTACTGCGCAGAGCATCTGTCGATAAGCAAGAAACTGCCGAAAATATCAGCAAAATTGGAGCAGCAATTACCATTAGAAACAAAATACTTTCTCCATTTCGGTTAATTTCTTCATTAACTGACTGACTAACGAACTTATAAATTTCGATATTATTCATATGAATTTTTGACAGTGTTTCTAGAAAAGTTTTTTCCCACATTAGTGCCATTTCTTTCGTTTCTTCTGTGGCATGGTCCAGTGGATAATACAGTCTAATTGCCTTGGAATCTCGAATCATATTTTCCTCGTCTACTGTGACACCACCGAATTCGAAACCGGAAATTACTAATTTGCCATCAATTTTATCAGCTGGATATCTGCAGATACACAGAACAAGTTCATTGTAACAATATATAAATATGAATTGAAGTGATTATAATACAACAGAACATGATTTTTATTTCAGGAAAAAACATGTTGTATTGTAACATAACTTTATTGAATTTTGAAGTATTTCTTATTCTATTTTTTGAGACGTGTAAAAGCTTATTTTCATAATTAATTCACATTGTCTTATGTAACATTATAAAATAATTTAAGAAGATTTTGGACATGGGAGGAGGATTTGAAAGTAAAGATGGAAACAAGCAGTGACGTATAGGGTTTGTGCTACTCGGAGTATTACTTGAGTTTATCTACTCCACGAAAAACAGCATACTACACATCAAAGAGGAATGAAAAAAAGACACATAGCCATAGAGATAAATCTAGCAAAGAGTTAGTTAACTTTTTCGGCGACATTCAAAATTTTGATGACGCTATCAGTTATGATATTTTATTTGAAAATTTTATATTTTTAATAATTATAAAGTGGAAAAACGCTTAATTTTGAGAGTAAGGATGGGTTTTATAATAATAAAAAAAAGTTGTAAATGATAATAGCGAGTAAAATCGTAATTAAGTCCGATCCTATTCGAGACATGGCATATAAACCCACTTTATCTCCCTACCCCCACGACCTTGAACCACCAAAATTTAAAATCACCAATCCCATTAATACACAAACCTCCCTGCAAAACTTCAGAAAATTTCGGCAAAAAGCACAGAAGTTATTAAACTTCAAATAGAGCGAATAAAATTGTTCCGCCATAAACACACTAAACCCCCAAATTTTTTACACTAGCCGAAATTTGTCCCGGATTAGCGATGGTCGGCCTGTAATATATTTATAAATTGTTGTACTAAAAATAAAATAACATACTTACTTGATCTTGTACATTCCTTTTTTTATGTCATTCGTCTTTCCTTTCAATGACAAAACAAAATACTCGTTGCAAGTGGTTCCGTCTGCCTTACAACACAAATCTTCNTACTCCTAATATATAAAACCTCCCTGCAAAACTTCAGAAAATTTCGACAAAAAGCACAGGAATTACTTTTATAATACACCTAGCACTAAATGATGCTATAATTAACTACTCCATAAAATCCTTTCGCTATTAACTGCTAAATGATGGATATTTTTGTATATTTCCCATATGAAAATATATCGTACATACATTAATATAAATAAATAACTGGTTTTTTTTTTATATAGGAAAGGGATCTTGTCAACAGAAGAAAAATGACAGAACGAATGACGACGTTATAATATCATTTCTTGGAAACAAGATTGTCAAAGCAAGTTCAATGTTCATATTTATTTTTTATATACCATTCTCCATATATTTTCTAATGAACGTCAAAGAAAATTTAAATTGGTTAAACGTTTATCCACGAGACTCGATGACGTTTAAATATTTATCAGCTCATTATAAATATTACACTCAATATCCTCATGTAATACAAATAATTTTTAACGAGACATTAGATTATTCTGATCCAAATGTGCAGAGTGATCTTGATGAAATTCTGTATGAATTTCAATCCTCTTTTTTTGTATCAAATGTTTCCGTATGCTGGTTTAAGGAATATACAGCAGTTTATAAGGATCCAAACTCTAATTACATACTAAAGGATTATAATATTTCGAATTCTAAAGAATTTTTAGAAGGTTTAAAAAATGTATTCTTGAAATTTAAACTCTCTCAGCCATTCACTGACGATATATTATTTAATGATAACAGGGATGAGATCCTTGCATCCAGATGCTATATTTTATCTCGAAACGTTAAAGATTCAAGGGACGAAAAGATTTTATTGCAAAATTTACAAGAAATCTCACGTAATTCAAAATATTCCGTCTTCACATTTAACAGATGGTTTCCAGTATACGAAGAATATTTTGGAATTCTTTTGCTATGGATTAAAAGTATCGGCATAACAGCATTAATAATTACAATTGTTTTCTCTTTATTTATGTTGGATATTATCTATGCATTTTCAGCTGCATTAACTGTAATTACCATACAAATGGCCACAACTGGATTTATGGCATTATGGAATGTTGAATTAGATTCAATAACTACGATCATTTTACTCATGAGTAGTGGGTATTGTATTGATTTTTTGGCGCATGTAATGAACTGTTGTAAGAGTTGTAAAGAGAAAGAACACAATGAAAGAATTAAAGGAATAATGCATAATGTTGGATATGCAATCTTTCAAAGTTTTGTAACTATGCTTATAGGAATTTTGATATTTTATTTTGGTCCTTCTGATATATTTACAGTGTTTTCCAAAATTATATTTTTATTTATGCTATTTGCATTTTTTCAATGCTTATTGTTAATCCCTGTCATTCTTACTATTGGAGAATCTGTACAAACATTTTCATGGAAGAAGAAACTATCATTTAAAGATTAATTAACATATTTATATAGCCTATGTAAATTACTTGATATAACAACATTTTATTTCGTTTCATCTAAGTATTAGGTACTGATGCAAGTGTAAAAACTTTATATTGTTATGCAATAAATATTATTATTTTGCACGTTTCTTTATTAATTTATACAGCCAACCATGGATATTTTAATAAATCAGAAGCCCTTATTAGTAAATAAATTGTAATAATTAGTAAGTGAGTATATTTCTACCAAATTTTTAAATTGATATATAAGATAAATGTTATGTTTTATTTTTATTTAGTACAATACAGTTCCAAGTACAATATGATATTTAATAATAATAATAATAATAATTTTGTTGAATTACAATATACATTTTAAAAAAAAATAGATAAATTTGTTTAAAAGTTATACGTGGCACCATCTGTTATCAGATGTTATTAAATTAAAAATTAATTTTTTATTATTATTAAAAAGAGAAAAACGTTATTTAGAGGTTAGGGATAAGTTTGTAAAAATAATTGTACATGCCAAAAAGTCTAATTCAATTCTGAGATGTAAAATGAGCCCCCCCATCTTTTCAGTCTCTTGAAAAGATGGGGGGCTTTAAAGTACTGAACAAAAATTTTATAGTATCAATTCTCCATATAAAAATGTAACCTGACATGTTCAAAATTTTTGACTCATCCAGTTTTGAAATACAATGCAAACTACATACTGCCACATATACAAGCACACACATACTATATATCAACACACTATATCCTTACTTAACTTTGGAGCGAAGAAGACCATTCCTTAAGATACTAACTTGACAGTTGTTCTAGATGAGGCCAAATGTCGAAATTTCGAAACAGTTAAATTTGGAGGATCGAATAAAAGAGTAGATCAAAACCTGACAGAGATGAATTAAACACGGGAATTAGTTTTACAATTCAGCCATTCAAACAGTAAGTGGTGTAAGTCAGTTTTTCTAAAAGACTACATTGCTGCTAAGTTTCAGTTCCTAACACCATTGTTTACATAATCGTTGTAAAGAAATAGATGTTTTTATGTTACTTACCTACAAATAAAACCAAAAATGTTAGTTACAAAAATGTCTGCTAGGCATGTAAATAGGGATCAGGCCAGACATCAGGGAATAACTAAAAATGTCTGAAAACTTACTATACACAAGGAACGTTATGCCACTACGGATGAGATTGATCGATTTTTGACAACATGCTGAAATCGCCAAATTGCACATTTAATAATAACACTCAGTTTCTCAGTTTTCGAGGCCAGCATATTGGTAAGTAATTGTGTACAGGTTTTGTACACAAACTATTCTGAAACTCATTAACAGATTAACGTGCTGTTGTTTTCATTCTACAGTATAAGACTCACAGAGCATAGCGACAACGAGCTGCATACTTCAGCTGTAACTAAAACGGTTTTGTAAATTGTACACTAATAATTTATTCAATTTTCAGATGACAAGAAACTAAACCACAGATTTTAGGTTTACATCACAATAAGGTTTCTTCAATACGTTAACGTTTACTTTATATAAATCGAATAAATTTAAAGAAAGTTCTTAACATTCCTGTTTCTGAATTGTGTTTTCAGATCTTAAAGAATCCAGTTCTTTAATATCATTTTCGCCGCACTCAAACTTATGCTTTTTCTTCTTATAAATTGAAAATGGAATAGAATCCAACAGGCTAAGAACTACAGGCAATAGTATAAGACTATGAAATAACGCAAAGATTACCATTAATGTTACAATTTTAGAAATTATCAGAAATGTTTCCGATGGTCCAAAATACGCTACCGAAACACCCAAAACGGTAGTTACACATCCTTGCAAAACAGGATATCCAGCGGCATATAAACAACTTTTGATTTTCTCGTTTGGTGTTTTGTTTTTGCAACTGATAAAAGCAAAAAACGTATGAACTGTATAATCTACACAAAATCCCGTACACATTACTAATACTATTACTAAGAGCGGACTTACAGTTACATTCCATAAGGACATGTATCCAATCAAACCAACCTGAATGGAAACAATAGTTATGACAATAGACAAAAGAAACAGTATGTTAGGAGTAAACAAAAGAAACACTAAAGTCACTGTACCCGCTGCAGAACTGATGGCTTTTAAACAGTTTGTAAAAGAGTTAATATAGAGATCATAATACATAAATCTAAAATTATATACAATTACAGGAATTTTGCTGGTATCGGCAATTTTTCGTACTTTCCGAAGAAAATTTCTTTTATCAATTTTGTCATTAATACTGGATATAATGAATCTAGAAGCAATAATTCTATTACTTTCTTTGTTAAAGACAACATCGTTTCTAAACCTGCGTGCAACGTTTGCTTTCAAGAAAACATTTTTAAATGCATTTAGAAAGTCTTCAGAGTCATTCAGATTGTAACCGGAAAGTGAAAACTTTGCTACTGGAGATTTAGTAAATGCCAGAAATTCTCTCAACCAACTTTCTGTGGTCGATGAATCGGATATAAATGGAGCAGACTCGAAACTTTGCAGAAGATCTTCTATGTCATTTTGTACAGTGACATTTACGTAGTCTAATGTCTGATTAATGACAATTTGCACTTGATGATCGTAATTAGAAAAGAATTTATCTTCAATATTTAAATATTTAAGCGCATAAGAAAAATCAGGAAAGAATTTAATTACATCGTTTCCTTCTTGAATGTATCGCATACAATATATTGCACCAGTAAGATAAACCATAAACAGAACAATTACGATAGTTTTAACGATTGGTTTTCCCAGTATTTCGCCGAGAACATTGCCGAAAATTACCATTAAGATGTTTTCTTGTTTTTGGTTTGTCGATTTGAATTCTTTTCTGTTTTCAATTTTTTGGTGATCTCGCTTAATCGGCCAGCAAAAAATAGAATGAAGATCATACTTTTCTCTGTACCCATCTAAAGCCATGAATCCTCCAAAAAACAGTAACTGATAAATATAGTCAAAAACGATTGCGAGCGCTGCATACGCGCTGAATATATGAATCACTTTGTATGGTGTCACAAATCCCATGCAAAATGAAACAAAATTTGTCAGAGACGTTATAGTAATGGACACTGCAGCTTCTGTGTATGCTTCTTTCATTCTATCTGGAACACAAGCTTTCACGTCAGTTCTTCTCCACGCAGCTATCAATATAAAAGCATCGTCTATGCCAATACCTAAAATTAGAATACAAAAGTGATTATATATTTTAATGATGTTATTGTAATATAAATTACATAAATTAGCCATACTGTAGGTTTATTTATGAGTGTTAGCATTCTAATGGACAGTGTTTATAGATTACCAGTATTTATTTTTAATGGTGAGGAAATAATGGTATAACGGAGATTAGGTAAACATTTTACGTAATTATATTTCAATTATTATATTACAGTTATTAATAAAGTAATTATGTGGTTCAGATAATTACATTATTAGTAAATATACATAAACATAAAAGTATGCAAATAAATATAAAGTTTTTCGTACTAAACATTCTTTCCAACATTTTCCAGTTCTTTAAAATAATCTGCATTTTTGGAAGGATTTTGATGATTATTGTAAGTTAAAACATAAATAATTTTGAAGAATTTTGTGTTATAATTTGATGTAAAAATATTGATACTTCATTATCTCTTCTCGGGCACTGAATCTTCATGGTGAATGAATTAGTGCTTTATTCGGTGTAGTAAATAAAACTATTTCCCATATCAAGTGTTGTTTGTTAACACTCTGTGTATACATTTCTTTATAAAAAAAAGTCTTCATTCTAACACAAAACATCTTTACAATATGGAGCACACGATTCCATATTGTAAAGATTGTAAGCTGAAGGACTTTAATAAATTTTATGAAATTAAGAATATTGAATTTTATTTGTTTTTCTTAAATTTGAAAAGTATGATCAAATGATGTGATATCGATTTACACTTTCTGGCTACTGATATAGGGGAAGGGTGGGCAAGATGGAAACTACTTACCCACCCCGAACTGCGCGACGAAGCACCCAAATCTCCATGCTCACAGAGACACCCGGATATCTTGTATTTATGAACGGCGACTCAGATCGGTTGGTGCCACGATGTGACGTGTGCAAGTATTTCTTATTTCGCAGCAGATTATTATGCAATCATTGGACTTTTGCAGTGTTATTATTTATACCTACAAGGTAAGTATTACTATTTTGTTTTTATACAAAGTACCTATTAGGGATAGATTGCATGAATTGATATTTAAAGAGGGAAAAAATTCAAGGATTTTTAAAGCGTTGATATTATTATTGGCAATGGGAATTTGGGCAAGATGGAAAATTGCATTTTAGGGCAAGATGGAATAGTTTCCATGTAGCAAGCGCAATTATTTTGATTTCTGTTATCAATTTATCTAACTAATTGAGGATGTAATTGTTTCTAGATGGTGAACAAGTATATAAGAAAGAGCAACAGAGGTTCTTGGACTGAAGAAACTGCAGATGGCGATGGATGAAGGTTTTGTGTATTACGTGGAGAACCATATGTGGAACCGCCCACAGATGACTGGGTACAGTGTCCAGTGTGTTGTGGTTGGGCACATGAACTATGTACAGACACAAAAGATGGATGTTTTTCGTGTGTCAATTGTAAAATGTAGGGATATCCTAGGTATTCCATCTTGCCTTCAGCGTGAGGGCAAAATGGAATTTTTGACGTTTTTACTTCATGATTCCTAATAGGTTTTATGCTTAATATTAATTATTTTTAATTACACAGTTTTTTAACCATCTAAGATCTCTGTCGAGACTGATTAAAATAAAAACTTTATATTATGTTGTTTTATGTTTTTTTACATCATAAAGTTAAGCCTTCCATCCTGCCCTCCCTTCCCCTACTGAGTGAACTGTGATTGCATATTGCAGTTTCTGAAGTATCAACTTAAATGGTATTCATAAAATCTTTTCTAATTATTTGTTGGGAGCATTATAATACTAAAAGCTGCTGTATTGACGCTATACATTTCAATAAATACAATAGAGATGTCCAATTGAAATGTAGTCCCAGTCTTGGAGTAGTAAAGACTCAAAAAATTTGATTAGTATTCTGACTAAAACTCTCTTCTATCTGATACCCAGGAGTTAAAACATCTGTAGAAATAAAACTTTCATACTTAATATAGTACATGATACACATAATAAGCTTATTATCTATGGCTCGTTGTTTTTCATTAATTTTTTTTATAAAGTTTAAAGAAACTTTTATACCCGTGAAGAGTTTATAATAATTTTAATAAATCTGTTCAGTAAAATATATAATAAAGGCTATAAATAGGCATTTTTATAATATTAAATATTAAACATAAGCGTAAGAAAGTTACTCCTGTACAATACGTCTTTAAATAATACTTCGAAATATTCGTGCAAACAAGACTTTTTTATTGTAGAAAAATAGATAATAAATATTTGTTTGCACATCTCAATCAGTATATTAATAACCTGAAAGTGTAATGTGACATCAAATCATTTTTTTACCCTTCTCAAATTTAAGAATAAGTAAAATTCAACGTGTTTAATTGTATAAAGCTTATTAAAGCTTTGCAGTTACAAAGATAATTTCTGCTAGAATGAAAACTCTAAGATGTCGTTTTTCAAAACAATTGTATACAAAGAGTCTTTAGGAACATTTAACATTTAATAACATTTAATAACATTAAATGACATTTAATAACATTTGATATAAAAAATAATTTTATTTACTCCATCGATACTAATAAAAATACAACTTTTCTATTTATAAGTCTATTATTGTCTGAACCATGTAATAGGTATATCAAGAGAGGTAGGCAAGTAGAACTAGCACCACTGACTAAAGAAAATAATAATAATAATTGACCTTAAAACCAAATGGAAGCGGACACCGACACTTAAATAATCTGTTATATAAAATACCTACATAGAAAGACAAAATTTAATTTTACTGTTTCCTCTTTATCAGCATTTAAAGTCTAAAATAAATTAACTTATAAATAATTTACTTTCAAATATAAGATTTTCATAAAACTTACCAAACATCAGGAAAATAATCGTAACGTTACCAGCGGAATACTCCATTTTACAGTAAATTAGTAGTCCAAATGCTGCAATAGTGGCTAAGAAAGGTGACACACAGCCAGCAATACCCAACCATGGCTTACTGCGCAGAGCATCTGTCGATAAGCAAGAAACTGCCGAAAATATCAGCAAAATTGGAGCAGCAATTACCATTAGAAACAAAATACTTTCTCCATTTCGGTTAATTTCTTCATTAACTGACTGACTAACGAACTTATAAATTTCGATATTATTCATATGAATTTTTGACAGTGTTTCTAGAAAAGTTTTTTCCCACATTAGTGCCATTTCTTTCGTTTCTTCTGTGGCATGGTCCAGTGGATAATACAGTCTAATTGCCTTGGAATCTCGAATCATATTTTCCTCGTCTACTGTGACACCACCGAATTCGAAACCGGAAATTACTAATTTGCCATCAATTTTATCAGCTGGATATCTGCAGATACACAGAACAAGTTCATTGTAACAATATATAAATATGAATTGAAGTGATTATAATACAACAGAACATGATTTTTATTTCAGGAAAAAACATGTTGTATTGTAACATAACTTTATTGAATTTTGAAGTATTTCTTATTCTATTTTTTGAGACGTGTAAAAGCTTATTTTCATAATTAATTCACATTGTCTTATGTAACATTATAAAATAATTTAAGAAGATTTTGGACATGGGAGGAGGATTTGAAAGTAAAGATGGAAACAAGCAGTGACGTATAGGGTTTGTGCTACTCGGAGTATTACTTGAGTTTATCTACTCCACGAAAAACAGCATACTACACATCAAAGAGGAATGAAAAAAAGACACATAGCCATAGAGATAAATCTAGCAAAGAGTTAGTTAACTTTTTCGGCGACATTCAAAATTTTGATGACGCTATCAGTTATGATATTTTATTTGAAAATTTTATATTTTTAATAATTATAAAGTGGAAAAACGCTTAATTTTGAGAGTAAGGATGGGTTTTATAATAATAAAAAAAAGTTGTAAATGATAATAGCGAGTAAAATCGTAATTAAGTCCGATCCTATTCGAGACATGGCATATAAACCCACTTTATCTCCCTACCCCCACGACCTTGAACCACCAAAATTTAAAATCACCAATCCCATTAATACACAAACCTCCCTGCAAAACTTCAGAAAATTTCGGCAAAAAGCACAGAAGTTATTAAACTTCAAATAGAGCGAATAAAATTGTTCCGCCATAAACACACTAAACCCCCAAATTTTTTACGCTAGCCGAAATTTGTCCCGGATTAGCGATGGTCGGCCTGTAATATATTTATAAATTGTTGTACTACAAATAAAATAACATACTTACTTGATCTTGTACATTCCTTTTTTTATGTCATTCGTCTTTTCTTTCAATGACAAAACAAAATACTCGTTGCAAGTGGTTCCGTCTGCCTTACAACACAAATCTTCATAACGAACGAATGCATTATTCCATAGAAAACTGACATTTCTAATGATTTTGTCAAGTTTGATGACCTCTTCAATTATTGATTCTTCTAGAATGGAAGTTTCATATTTTGACGTTATCTGTATTGCTGCCATTCCTTCCAATTTAGATAATCTTCTATAATCGCATTGTGACGTGTTTATGGGAAATATTGATTCGATTGCAGCTCTGTCTGCTTTGCTTCTTGCATCGGAAGGAACGTAAAGATATTCTATGTCCTTCGAAGGTGATATATTTAATATTCCTGTCGCTAACACAAGTGATAACACGAGGAAAACTGAGACATATATTTGAGGATAACATCCTACGTTGTAACCAATGCGAGATAATGAGACAGAAACTATTCTTCTTATAAAGTCGTGCTTCATTTTTCCATAGAAAAGAATCAAACCGGAAGGAAATAGTCTGAAAAAATATTTAATACAATTACATTGCATTGGTATCTGTCACAAACGGTATCAAATTAAGTAGAATGTTTATTATAAAGGGTAATGTTGTACGCGAAAAAAAAAGATGAGTTTATTATCAAAAATGACCAGTTACTAAAAAAAAAAAAATACTTTATACACTAAGAAGCGTGAAAATTCAAACTTAGAAATGTCATGTAATCCTTTACAAATGAATCGCATTAAATTACAATATGCTGTTTAATTTAACTACAAGTAAATATTATTTATTATTTTATTTTCTTAGTCAAACCCCGTTATAACTTTATCATTTTATATGAAATTCACATTGGTACGAAGTAGATTTGCAATCCTGTAAAAGAGGATAATTATTTAAACGTTAACCAGTTCGGTTAATGCTGTGTTGTTAACAAGTAATACAAATATGAGGTATAATTTAACACAAAGAACATTGGTTGCAGCTTTCTTCGTTCGCACCGAGCATTTCGATCTAGATTGTGACTAAGGTCGGAGAGTGTTCCGTGGTGCGAACGATCTCGACCGTTGCAATCTCGACTGAAACGAGGTTCTATCGCGATCGACTGGAAAGAGTTCTCGAAACTAGATCCAGTCATAAGAGAGATCCCACAATCCCACGCGCGCGAGAAAATACAAGATTACTGCAGAACACGTGTCGGGCTATCGACAGAGAAATAAAAAAGACAGCTGGACAGACGACGACATCTGTCTATTATTAGATGTACGGCAAGAAAAGTATTTATTTCTAACCAAAACTTCCATTTTGTTTGTTGTTGTTTGTGACTTACCGCGTAGTTACGTCAGTTTTATGATCGCGTGTAATAGCCAGGTTCTTCTCGAGCGGACTGCCTGTGCGAACAGTACGACGTTCGACTAGTGACAGTCACAATCCAGAGTAGTGGATTGTGTGCGAACGTAGTATTACACTCACCCGAACAAAACTGTTAACGCTGAAGCCAAGGATTTATCAAGTGGCTATGTAGACTTCAATGTTGGCCACAAAGATCAGGACGTCGATGTTATTGTCATGGCTGACAATGCAGGTAAACTTCACTCCAACTTAAAAAATTCTCTAATAATCGTCGCTACGTACGCTGTGACATCACTGAACGATTATTTAAAACCCTTCAAATTGTTTTAATCTTGGTTACTATACAACTATTGTTATTAATGTGTTTTAGGAATAGTTATTTAAATACCTTCATTTAAAATTTAAACAAAATCTACGACATTACTTTCGTAATAACATCTGATTACAAATATTTTACGTAGAAAAGATTATAATATGAGTTAGAAAAAAGATTAATTCAGACGGAAAACAATACTTAAACACCACAGTTATAAATTAAAAAGTAAAAATCATGATTAAAATTTTAATAATATAGAAAAAGAATAGTTGTTGAATGTGTACTTACGTACTGTAGAGCCTTTAATAAATTAATAGTTGTATTAGTGCCGAATATATCTGGTTACGCTTGTTTAAAGAGAAAAAAGAGCGATAAAAAAAATATCATAAGATAAAATCACATCCTAAGAACAAAGTACAAATAATAATTTATTTTAAAGCCTAAATTCTGTCAATGAATTGCAAACGTTATCATTAAGGACATATTTTATAGATTTTATAAAGTTAATGTATAAAAATATATTATTAAATTTGAATATAAGTGATAGCCTTGTATAATATAATTAATTTAATTGTTTTGCATCGTTTCTTTACTTTTTCATAGATTCAAAAATGATAACTCTTGTTGATGAGAACCATCAGATTAATGTCCATTACTTTATACATGTGTATTGATGAAGACGTCTACTTCAAATTAATATTTAAGAACAAATTATTTTTTTTTAAGTTGAGTTTATTTTAATTCTTCTTAAAGTGATGTTTTTACTTTCTTGAAACTAAAAATTGAATAAATTTACAAAGAAGATTGCCTTGTGTTGTGTGAATGAACTATATAGTGATGTTTTTAGTTATATTTCACAATAACGCGTGAGTTAATCTACGGATGGTGAGAGAGTTAAATGACAAAATCTCATAGAATAAAGGCTCAAAGATGCCTTGCATCTTTGAGCCTTTATTCATATTGCAATACAAAATTTTATTGTATAAAACAAATATTATTCTTATTATGATATCAATTGTTTTGTTAGTTTTAAGTCAATATTGTTTATTTGAATAAAGATAAAAACGTAATTTACTTAGAGTATAAAGTGTCTACTTGTACATAAATCGGAGTGTGTGATGTAATGTAATGTAGAGATATCATAAAGTCTCGTGGTGTTTTCATTTCTTACCAGTCTTCCTTGTATTCTTTTATGCCATATTTGATGCAGAATACGCTCAAAAATTTTAGATATTTGAGTTCGACTCTGACTCAATCTCAAATTGTAATATATAATGTGAACCCGACGGGTTTACGGACCCAAATTTTTATAAACGTATAAACTATTAAAATAGTTTTTTTCGAAAGTTTAATGTAAACATCCGCGGATAGAAAAACGCGGAAAATCGGATCGGATGTCGCCTCTAATGTCAACAATCAGGTGGGAATGTCGTAAAAGAATGCGTCACGAACTTGTAACCCCTTTCTCACAATAATGCTATAAAACTCGGCGATCGACACAGGAAGTTATTCTTGAGCTAGTGTCCATTTTTGTCTCCCGTCTCCCGATCCTGTCCGAGAAGACAACGGAGGAAGACACTTAGGACTTACACATCTTCCATACAAGAACGATCGTCATATACGGCTCCCTATTAAGACTGAGAGGTATTTTGGCCTAGAAATCTGGAAACTCTCTCTCTCTGCGATAAGGAAATTAGGCACGCGACATAGAAGTTAAAGTTGTCGCCGGTTTTTTTGTAAATAATTTGCATTTTAACGGCATTTAACCTTATTTAATCTGTATAAACCGCATCTATGTTTAGCCTTAGATATTCAAAAAATGCTTTGTTGATTTGTAGAGATCTGTCAAACTGTCTACCATTCCGAACCTGGACATCTATCAACTTACTTATTGACCTCCCACCTCGCTTTTGGCCTCTAAGCAACTGTTATCACCAACTGACAACACCGAGGTCGGGTTTTAACAACCCCTGCCGATTAAGCAGTTAATAGGGCACTCCCATAGCCCCGGCTTATCTCACAATAGTGTTAAATATACAGTTAATACAGGGTGAATGAAACTGTGATTGTAAAAATAAGGATTATTTATAAAAGTCTGACTGAACTGGTGTTTTTATATCATACGAAACAACACAG